AAGTCTTTATTTTTTCTGCAGAGATGTGGGCCACAGACCTTCAGATGGCAGCAAGATCCTTCCTGAGGGACTGGCAGCCCGAAGCCGGGAGTTGTCTGCCGAGCAGCCCCTTCTCTGAGAGCTGGTGGCCCCGCTCTCAAAGTAACTGGCTGTTTTGGACACTTTACCGTCACTTGGAGAATATGCCACCGTAACTGACTCCTAATCCAAGAGGCTTTGCCCTGGTCCCAACGACTCTACACAGCTCCACCTGTCTAGAAAGGCAGCGTCCAAGGCAAGATCCGGAAGCCGTTGGTTCTCACTCCTGATGCGAACAGGGCTGTCTCCACAGTGACTCTGCAAGAAGCCAGTGACACCCGGGGTAGGTCCTCCGCATGAACATTGTGGTTGTGTAGCTTGGTGTTCTTGTGGGGCTCCTAACAGTCAGGGTGGAGCTGTCTTTGACTCTTTGGCCTCTCTTAGGACAGATTTCCTCCTACGAGGTTGCCTCACACAGCCTTGATAGGAGGTATGTGCCTAGTCCTTTTTTTTTCTTTTCTCTGTGTAGCCTCGGCTGTCCTGGAACTCACTCTATAGACCAGGCTAGCCTTGAACTCACAGAGATCCACCTGCCTCTGCCTCCCGAGTGCTGGGATTAAAGGTGTGTGCCACCAACACCCGGCTACCTGGCCTCTTTTCTAAGGAAGGTATTTTTATTATTTAGAAGAAAAATAGAATTTTGTTTGGTTAATTGATACATTTGCCTATCAGAATACTAACATAATTTCATAACACGTATTTAGGTGTTAGGGGTTTTTATTTTAAATTTTTTTCCATTTCACATACCCACCCCAGTTTCCCCTCCCTCCCTCTCTCCTGCCCCACAGCCTCTTCCCCATCCACTTCTCAGAGGGAGTCAACAGTGCCTGGTCTTATTGTAACTTGTCATGCTGTCTTTGGTTTGTATCCCCAGCAGACCTACTCTTTTCTGAAGAGAAACAGGAAGAGGATCTGGGGGCCTGGGAGGCATAGAGGAGGGGAAACAGTGATCGGGCTGTAATATATGAGAGAATAAAGAAAAAAGCTGATCAGCGCCAATAGAATCCGCCATTAGCATGTCCTACTCTGCTCCTGGCTGTATAACCAGGCTGCCCAGCTTTCTCCAGTCAAGTGGAAGACATCTGAGATGCCCCGGTGCTACACTAGGCCCAAAAGGCTTCCTCAGAGTATCTTTTATCTACTGGAGATTTGTATCCTCAGTAGTGCAGGCTGATCTGGTAACACCAACAGTGGCAACAGTGTTACTAACAGTGGCAACAGAGAAGACTCCAGAATTGAGACAGAAGATGATGGGTGACAGAATTACCAAGCCTTGACAGCCAAGGTCTCAACACCCAAGGGTTAGGAGCTGTATTGCTACCTTGCACAGCCTGCCACTACCGAGACTAGCTTCTGCTCAAAACTGAGGGTTTCATCCACTGCTACAGGCAGAGCAAGATTCCTCTAATGTGAGCGGCTGGAGCTGTCGTCTCTGGCTCCTGAGACCTCGACCCACGCCCCTCTAGTTCCCAGGGCTTTGGGCCACAAGCTTGAGTCTGCCGGTTGGTCTTCAGCACTCATGAGCCAAGGGTTACTGATACCAGAAGTACTCTACTCTGATTTCCATGGAGTAAAACGACCCAGTTAACTAACAAGTTAACAGCAATTGCCAATGTCCCATGATTAAACAGGAGACAGCTATGCGCCCTGAGCCGCTCTCCTAAATGTCACCTAGACATCTCCTCAGCCAAAGCTGGATGTCAATAGGACACGGAAGATGCTCAGCGTCCACACACCTATACATGGCCCTGACCTGCTTGCCCAGGTTGATCGACCCACGCCACATGAAGGACAAAGTTACATATAACATCTTCATGGGATGATGCTGTCTGGAGTTGTGGTTTTTCTTTGTAAGACAAGGTTGACATGTTCAAAAGATAAATGTGATATACATGCTATGAACCTATATAATCAATGTTCAGGAAGCCTTCAGCAGAGACCTTTCCAGCACCCACGCCTCTGCACAAATGCCATGAATGAGGTTATTGTGTGAGTCTTTTCCTGGCCAATTTATATCTCAGTTTTGTCTTCTGGTACCAGGTACATCTTCAGCCTTGCTTTATTATTTATTTTATGGCCTTATTAAATGCCAGACTGAAGTCGGATGGTGGTGGCACATGCCTTTAATCCCAGCACTCGGGAGGCAGAGGCAGGCAGATCTCTTTTGAGTTCGAGGCCAGGCTGGACCGACAGCCTCCAAAACAATACAGAGAAACCCTGTCTCGTAAAACCAAAGGAAAAAAAAAAAAGTCAGACTGAAACATGGGGCTTCTTTTTTCCTTTTTTTTTTTTTTTTTTTTTTGAGACAGGGTTTCTCTGTGTTACAGCCCTGGCTGTCCTGGAACTCACTCTGTAAACCAGGCTGGCAAACTCAGAGATCTACCTGCCTCTGCCTCCCAAGTACTGGGATTAAGGGAGTGTGCTACCAACGCCCGGCCAAGATTGAGTTTTCCACTCAGAATTGCACCATCATCGTTTTCTCGAGGTATCGAGGGCGTTTCTGGTTCCCATAGCTGTGCACTCTGCTGCTGGGCAGTCCCTGCAGGCCATCTGTACACACGCCACTGACAGAAGTCCTTCACCAACCCAAGGCGGGTGCCTCAGCTCACCTTCCGGCCGTAGCAGAAGCCTCCTTCCCACTCAGCTGGTGGCTTTCCCGTCAGGCATTCTCGGTTCCTGTCCTACACTAGGGATTGTTCATTATTGACGTCCTATCGCTCATCTCTACACCAAACCATTTACAGATGCAGCTGACACCCCCAGCTCAAACTGTCTCCCCCACCAATACCCCCAACCAAGAAGATGGAGATGAAATCCAATTCCACACAAGATAGACAAGTGTCCTACCACTGAGGCACATCCTATCACGGTGTCTTCTAATAAACACACGTTTCTAGCTTTGATAAGGGTTGAAATTACCAAACTTCCCCTCATAGTCAGCATATTTGGGTGTCAGGAAACCACCCTGGGTATTCCCCATGGCCTCAAGCATGGGGTGTTTGTCTTTGCACACTGGGCTCCCTTGGGTGGGAAGTGTGTCCCCACTGGTTTCAGGGCAGGGCCCTGCTTCTGCCTGCTGGTCTCAAATGTGCCTGGGGGCGGCCAGGGCTTTAGTCCTTGTGTCAAGTATGAGATCCTCCTGACCTTAAGATCGGGTTGTGGTGTTAGGGACAATGCAGTCACTCTCCCTCAAGGTCAGGGGGGATGGTGTCAGTCAGGTGGCCCATAATGCCCCATATTAGGCCACAGGTGAGGACATGTGAGCACCAAGCATCGCCAGTTTGTGAGGGTTGTGGTCAACTGACACTTGTCTTTATTCCTACCCGACTGCGTGGGAGTTCAGGACACAGGACGGTGAGACCATGTGTGTGAGCCGTCTCAAGTCCTTGTGTCTGAAAGCTGGTACTGAAGCCTCCAACAGTTTGACCAAGGATGGGTCCTAAGGCTGAGCCCCCAAGAGGCAGGCTCTCTCCTTCACATGGCCTCAGACCCTTGAGTCCCATCGACACACACACACACACACACACACACACACAAACGCGCACGCGCGCAGGATTAGGGCTGGAACTGATAACTTCGCAGAGCAAATGGAGAAGTGACAGCTGGCAGCACTGGGTATGTGCTTGGATTTTTTTTTTCCTAGACAGGGCTTCTCTGTGTAGCCCTGGCTGTCCTGGAACTCTCTCTGTAGACCAGGTTGGCCTCAAATTCAGAGATCACCTGCCTCTGCCTCCCAGGGCTGAGATTAAAGGTGTGCACCACCACCGCCCAGCTGCATTTAGATTTTTTAAGGTCAAGTTCCAAAGGGCCACTGGAAATCCTATAGCAGGGCAGTTTTCAGAGGCAGGGAGCTTAAGCGGACTTGTTTATAGCCCAAATCACAGTCATAAGGAGCCAAAGACAGTCATGTTCCCACATGCCCTGGATCAGAGCTGGAACCCACGAGCTTCGAGGTGTTAGCAGGCGGGGGTGGGGGCTGCAGGCCAGAGGGAACAGCAGAGGCCCAGCAGCAGGCAGGAGGTTCCAGTGACTCTAGGAGCTGTCACGAAAGTTAGGAAGGACCTGTTGGACACTGGTCCTCCAGAAGTGCGCTAGGAACGGTCACTGGAACAAACCAGCATGGTGCCCTGCCTCAGGGCCAGAGCCACCTGCACCGGGACTGTAACCCCAGACACAGCTGTCACTCTTACCACACACCAGGCAAGTGGGAAAACCCCATGAGAGAATGTTCTAGTAGAGGGTCCCAGAGTCTTTAACGGCCTCAGGCCTGAGTTAGCAGGAGGGTAGAGGTTGGCTAGTGGGACCTACCACCTGTCCATGGTCCGGCCATTGTTTGGAGCTGGGGATAGGAAGGAAGCTGGGGCTAGAGCCCGCTGGCTGGGAGAAGCCTGGGCTAGGAGAGAGCAGTCCCAACAGGCTGTGGGCACATCCTGGACACAGGCTGCTTTGTGAGACCTGAGCTTGCCCAGCAGCCTTCGGAACAAAGGCCTTCTGTACATGCTGAGGCTTCCCCTCCTCCTCTCCTCCAGACAGAGCCCCCAGGGCTCCCATCCAGCTCCCCACCACACACACACACACACACACACACACACACACACACGACACATGCACACAGATACACACAGACACATGCACACACGCGCGCACACACATGCACACACACGCACACACAGACACACGCACGCACGCAGACACACACACAGACACATTCATTCATGCAGACACACACAGACACACGCACTCACGCAGACACACACAACGCACGCACACACCAGGCACGTCCATGGCCCAGTATAGGAGGAGGCTCTACTGCAGGAGGCCCAGGGAAACGACCAGAGCTGTTCCCCTCAGGGGAGGCGCAATACTTCCTGCACTGTGTGACTCCTGCACTGTGACAATCATGCGCTACAAATATCCCAGTGTCCCAAGAAGACGACCTTAGCAGGGCGGTGCTCCCTTTAATCCCAGCTCTCGGGAGGCAGAGGCAGGCGGATCTCTGAGTTTGAGACCAGCCTGGTCTACAGAGCGAGTTCCATGACAGCCTCCAAAGCCACAGAGAAACCTTGTCTCGAACCCCCCCCAAAAAAGGAGAAGAGGACGTTAAAGGGGCAGTGGAGAGGGCAGCAACCTGGTGTCCCCAGAGACAGCTCTATCATGCTGTACAGGTCCCCTCCAAATTCTCAGCAGGACCAGCCCACGGCGACTCCAAACTGTAGCCAACAGGGCTCTGGCCCTGGAAACGATACATAGCCTGGACCTCTGTTCCCAAGCCGGCCACAGTCTGCCCCTCTGAGACCCTACACAGGGGAACGCCTTGGGGCGTTCAGTGACCAGGAGCCATAATCCAAATCAAGCCAGGCAGGGCACCAGCCAGCCTGGCCAGCTCCCGCTGACACTGACTCTGTAGCTGGTGCAACGCCCTCTTCAGAGAGGCCTCCTGGGCACTCAGTGTCCTGATCACCTCGGCTGCCTGCAGGCCTTGGCGTCCTGGCAATTCATCCTGACTTCTCACCAGCCGATGGGGTCTCTGAGGCTGGGACGGGTTGCTGGACGGCTCCCAGGAACCCTGTAGGGCGACCAACTCCCTTTCAACAGCCTCCTGCAAGGCCTTCCTTGTGGTGCTCCACTCTGGCTGCCGACCTAGGCCTCCAACCTACATGAGAGAAGACAGAGGCACCTGAGCCAAGGGCAGTTCTGATCCCAGGGCGACAGACGAGTCCAGGTGCGCCTAACAACCCTGCAGCTCCAGAACTCCAAGGTCAGGGTTAGCCCATGGATCATTTCCACCACAGAAAGCCAGGCCACCCGGGGACCAGTAAAAAAAAACACCTGGCTAGCCAAAATCCGTTTCACCCTCACAGAGCACCTGAAGCCCACGCCAGCAGCAGCTGGGACACAGGGACCCGAAACCCGGACATCAGGATCTCTAACCTCAACCCTCCAGAGCTCCTGTCTCAGGCCTGCTGGCTGCTAGACCACTGGGCAGTTTCTTTTAGTCTACCACACTTGAGTCCCTTCAGGACGCAAAGGAAGATTCCGGAAACACCCAGAACTTCAGTGCAGCACCCCCTCCACCCTGTTCCGGCGTTCCCCTTCCCACTGCATACGTACTACTTCTAACCCTTAGGGCAGACCCTATCCAAAGACCCTGTGGGCGCTAGGTCTGGAGTGAAGGCCACACTGACGAGGTCTTCCCGGCCACTAACCCCCACTCCAAAAACCCCAGAGAGCCACCTCCAGTCCTGAGTGCTCTCCTATGTGGGCTCTGTCCTCACAGTCCTTAAAAAAAAAAAAAAAAAGGAAATGGCCTAGGACAAAGCAGGCCTCACTCTTGGGGCGCTAGCTGCTGTGAGAGAGAGGCCGCCTCTGGCTCAACCTCAGCCTTCGCCGTCTGTGGCACGCCAGCCTCGCTGGGGCGGATGTCATGCAAACACAGAAGAGCTTCAGGGGAGCCTGCCCGCAGCTAACATTAAAATGCTTCCCAAAGGGAGAACCGGGAGACACAGCAGGGAGTGGTGTACGCTACCAGGGACTGCTGGAGAGGACCCGCTGGGCGGGGCAGTGTGGCTGACCCACGGAAAGGGGGCGTAAGGGCAGGCCATTCTGCACAGCGTCGCCTGTCCCTCTGTGGGGGTCCCCGGGGAAAGGTGGGAGTGAAGGCCAGCAGGGTTCCTTCCCTGCGACCCCCTGCCGTGGGAATTTCATGTCCAAGTGTATCACCATCAAATTTAATCCTAATAAGTAAGGTAATGTATCCAGAGACTTAGGCAAATGGTTAACGCAGCCCTCCCCCCAAAATAGCTAGTCTAGATTGGGGGAAAACAGGCAGGGCTGGAGGGCAGGAGGGCTGGAGGGCAGGAGGGCAGGAGGGCTGGAGGGCAGGAGGGCTGGAGGGCTGGAGGGCTGGAGGGCTGGAGGGCTGGAGGGTTGGAGGGCTGGAGGGCTGGAGGGCTGGAGGGCTGGAGGGCTGGAGGGCAGGAGGGCAGGAGGGCTGGAGGGCAGGAGGGCAGGAGGGCTGGAGGGCTGGAGGGCTGGAGGGCTGGAGGGTTGGAGGGCTGGAGGGCTGGAGGGCTGGAGGGCTGGAGGGCTGGAGGGCTGGAGGGTTGGAGGGCAGGAGGGCTGGAGGGCAGGTTGGGAGAAGAGAGCACTGCAGCTGCCTGGGAGCTCACCTGGGCTTCCCATGCCTCCCGCCGGCGCTCAGCCGCTTCCCGCAGCTCTTCCTGCAGGGCCTGCAAGTCTTGTTTCACCAACTCCAGCGCACCAAGGCCACGTTCAGAGATCATGGGCAGGACTGTGGGCTGTGAGGTCACAGCAGGACTCTCCGACCAACAGGCGTCCAGAACCGTATCCTGCCGGCCGAGACCCCAGTGAGATGCTCAGGGACAGGCACAGGTTTCAAATGGGGAAGGAGGGATGCGGACCTCGATGGGGCAGGGGTGGCATCCCCAGGTCCCACCGTGGACAGGGCAGCCCCTGACACCCCAGCTACCCCTTCTCTGGCATGCAGGGAGGCACAGAAACCAGACCCCTGGGAGAACCGGAGGCGAAGACCAGAAACATGAAGCCTCTGCTGAGGCCCAGCAGCTGTCCTGAGCAGAAGGCCCCGTAGACCTCTCTCTCCTCCATCCTAACCCTTCCACCAATGAGCCTGGGGCTCTGGGCCAGGCAGCAGGGCCGGCGTCCTCACCATCCACTGCCAGAAGACCAGCTCGCGGTGCCGCCACTCCAGAGCTGCCTCCAGACGGGCGTTCTCGCTCTCCAGTGCTTGCAGAAGCTACAGAAAAAGACACAGGTGGGCGGGGCCGAGCCTAGCTCTAGCCCAGGGGCCCAATCGTCCACTGACTAGAGGCTGCCCCAAAGCCGGCACAAATGAGAAGGCTTTACTGGGGAGCCCGCAGGGCCACCCCATGTAACTTTGGGAACCCCCAAAGGGGAGGAAGGGTTTGTAGGTGCTGGGGATGTGTACACAGGACAGGGGCATGGGACAGAGCTGAGGGACGGGCGGGGCCGGGTCAGAAGACAAGCACTGCCCGCCCTCAGCAGAGCAAAGCTTACTAGTCCTGCTCTAACAGCTGTGCATCAGAGACGAGCAATCCCCGTGCTCTGACCTCTCCTTCCTGAGCAACACCCACTGACTGGCTGGAGCCAGAAGCCACTAGCTCCTTGGCTCCCTCCCTTGGTCCCCTGGCTGGGAACCCCAACTTGGAGGTACCCTTCTAAACACAGATTATCCAACCCACCTGCTCCTCCTAGAAGACAGAACGCTTAGTAGTCTGTAAACTGAGGGTACCTCTGGATGCCCTGCAGGTGCCAAGTCTAGTCAGAGGCCCAACCCAAACAGAACATAAGTGCTCTACCCTTGACACCTGTATGGGAGACCCAGAGAGAGGACCCTTGCAGAAGACAGCCCAGGCCATGCCCTCTGGACCTAAGACCTCTAACCCTGCTACCACAGAGGATGCAGGAAGGGTCCATGGCCTGAGAAACTGGAGAGACCTTGGAAGCTAGCCAAGACCAGTCCATTGACAACACAGAGAGATGACCAGAGCCACCACAGTCACGGAGAGAGGTGGGAGATGTAAGGGACCGGACCAGGGTGAGGGGGACAGACAGGGTGGTTCACAGGCCTACCACTCAGCACTGAAGAACAAAGACCCCCCACAGCCACAATGCACACACGCACACCATCCCAAGGGCGGACAAGACAGATCCCAGGAGGCCAAGTGCCCCTAGACTTGTGGGGTACGGGCGTGATGGAGAGGCAGACAATCCTCTTCGCCTTCCCAGGGCTCCACCCTCAACTCTGCATTCTCCTGCTGCAGCTGTCTCCCCGGACCTCCTCCCCAGCAGCAGCAACGACACAGGGGGGTGAACAGAAGGCTGTGGACTCCACATCCACCAGGGAATGGACAAGGGACATGCTAATACACTGGCTGCTAACACACCCCGGCATGCATCGCTCTAGAAACTCAGGGGCCTGCCTGTGGGTGAGCTGGATCCAGGCTTTAGTCGGCACCCCCAACAAACAACACGTGGGAAGAAGTTGATCTGTGGCCTTGGTCACCTAACCACTGCTGTCCAGGCCTGTGTCATCAGCACAGGACAGCGGCTGAGGCTAGAGGTGCCTTAACTCCTCCCTCCCACCCCTCTCCCCCCACCCAGGGACCCCACAGCAAAGCCCCAGGAGTGCTAGACTCAGCAAGGGAGGCCCTTGCTGGGAACCACAGGAGTCAGTTCGAAAAACAGCAGGATCTCCATGACACAGGACAGCAACAGGATAGCCAAGAGGAATGGGGGCCATTATCAGTGGTGTACCAGAAACCAGAGGCCTCAAGCCAGACCAGTGGTCCCAGGCAATGAATACTTGTGATGAATGGAGTACAGAGTAAACTATGTGTGACGCAACAGACCACACCACGGCTTCCCTGACAAGTCTTCCTTTTTTAGTTTGTTTGCTTGTTTGGGTTTTTGTTTTATTTTTCTTTTAAATTTGGTTTTGATGGGGGGATTGTTTTATTTTCCTTTTAAATTTGGTTTTGATTGGGGGGGAGGTAGCAAGGGCAGAGGGAGACAGGGAGATGAGTGGGATCGGAAAGCATGATGTGAAATCCACAAAGAATCAATAAAAGTAAAAAAATAAAAGGACATCAGAGCCCAGGGTACATAAGGACCTTCAAATGTTGCCTCAGCACGGTAAGGCCAAGCACTGGTCCTAACAGGCTGGGCCCAAACCAGGGTTTATCCAGGGACACAGGTCCAGCTGGCACCAATGACCCCACCCACACCTTACCAGGTGAACACACTTGGTTCCCAGCAGGGCATAACAAACCATCCAGAGGGGCTGGCAAGATGGCTCACAGGTTAAGAGCACTGGCTGTTCTTCCAGAGGTCCTGAGTTCAATTCCCAGCACCCACATGGTGGCTCACAACCATCTGTTATGAGATCTGGTGCCCTCTTCTGGCCTACAGGCATACATGCAGGCAGAACACTGAATACATAATAAATAAATAAAATCCTAAAAAAAAAAATCCAGAGAGCCAGGCAGGTGGTGGTGGTGCACACCTTTAGTCCCAGTGCTTGGGAGGCAGAGGCAGGCAAATCTCAGTGAATTCCAGGCCAGCCTGGTCTACAAAGGGAGTTCCAGGACAGCCAGGACTGTTACACAGAGAAACCCTGCCTCGAAAACAACAAAAATCACCCAGAGCACAGAAGCCCAGATCTGGAATCTCCCAACCAGCCTTGCAGTATGACCCTGGCAAGAATGACAGAAACCATGGAAACCAGGGTTCTAGCCATCGGTCCCTCACCCCATGATCCTCCAGCCCCACCTGGCCAGCAGAGGAGTCCAGTCCTGTGCCACAGAAGGGAAGGGAGTTGGGCCTGGAAGAAGGTGTCACCCACGCTGAGCTCCAGCTGCAATACATGCCCAATGCCAACAGTCAGTCAGCCACTCGGGATGGTCTATAAGTGATGACCAGTGCTGGATCTGACCAGCAGACCCCAGAGATGAGCCGACCAAGAGGAAGAAACCAGTGACAGGTGGGTAGGGCCCACGAGGAAAGTCAGCACGAGGGTGCGGTGAGGGGAGGGACTGAGCATCCTGGGAGAAGCTGGGGGCGGGGCCAGCATTGAACCTCTTCCCAGCCTCAGACAGCGGCCACTTCATCCCTGGGTCTCAGCCCGGTGCCCTCCAGGTCTGCACTCTCTAAGATTTAGGTCTGCTTGGGAACTTCAGAAGCCCATTGCCTAGGGCACCTGAGCTTGCAAAGAACCAAACGGCTCCTGGGCAACAAAGCAGGACTGAGGCGTACAAATACCCTGCACACTGACCTACCTCAGTAGACCCCCCCACGCAGACCCCTGAAGAGTCTAGCCCCAGACTCTGAAGAGCAGCTATTCACACTCGACCTCTAACCCTCCAGAGACATCAGATAGAGCTGGCGTCTTCATTCCAGACCTGAGATCAAGTGTTCCTCCAATGCAGCGATCCCCTCCTGGACACTGCATCCCTCCAACCCTGAACATGCCTGGCCAGATAACAGGCGCACGCCTTCCTGGACAGGTGGGCAGTCAAGGGGACAGGGAGGATCCACAATAGCGAATGACAGTGAGTTTGGCAAATACCCAGAGACACAGATGTCAAAGGCAAATCCAGCCCAGAAGTCCCCAATAGACTGCACCCCACCACCGGCAGCACCCACTCCAGCACCCGGCCAACACTCACCTGTTGACTGCTCTCTGGGTCCCTGAGCATCTCTGTTTCGGCAACAGAAAGATGGCCAAGTCTCTTTTGGCTGTGACACCCACGGGTGTACAGGTGGATCTGCAATAGAGACGTAGATATCTCTCTTAGCTGGATGTGGGCACCTTAGAGGCCACTTGTAGCCAGGAAGGGCAGAGCTGGGCTCAGAGTAGAACAGTAATGCCGGGGTGAGGGGCTGCAGGGGAGGGCAGAGGAGGGGCACTAGACAATTTCACTGAGGGCTTCCACAGGATGCAGGGAATGCACGCAGGGTCCTGCTCCCCTTATGAAGGCGAGAGGCCTAACCTACAGGCCAGAGCTGGGGGACCCCAGCGGTCCAGTGTGCTGACAGAGACGGTCCACAGGGAAAGGCAGCCTGGAGCTCGGGGTAAATGGGTCCAGAACGAAGAACCATGTGCCTGGACTACCTTGCTGAGGAGGGCGCACTGCTCCTGCTGACTGGAGATGAGGCGACGCCACCCAAACCGCAGCTTTCCCATCATCCATTCCACTAGTCGGAGATCCACGGGTCTCTCTGTCTCCACATGGGGTGCAGGAAGACCACGGCTGGCCAGGGTATCACACTAGACAGGGAACAAGAGGCAGCCCTGCTATACCCCCCATCTCATCTTAAAGGAAGGACCAGGGCAGGGAGGTGGGCTACTAACATAGGATCATACATACACGCATGCACGCATACATGCATGCATCCTCAGCCAAGAGGCTGGATGAGCCCTTCTAAAGACTGCACCAAGGGCAGACAGCACGAGACTCGGGACCACAGAGAAACCCATACAGCCTCACTGCATACTCACCTCACATTGGGGCAACTCGTCACCCAACTGCACACGGGTCTGGGCAAGCAGCTGCTCAAGCAACGGCCCTCGTGCCAGGAGCCAGGACAGGGCCAGCAGCAGTTCCCGGCTTCCCTGGGGACCGCCCTCAGGAGACTGTAACATCGCAGACCTGGGGTAGCCTTGGGAGACCAGTGCTGACTTCACCACACGGGCTTGGGCCTCTGGAGTAGGAAATCGCCAGCTCAGGGGGTGCCAACCTGGAGATGTGACCTGGATCCTGCCAGGGACCCGGGTGTAGCCCTAAGCTGAGAACCCTCTCAGAGTGGGCAAAGGAGGCCCAGGGGGCAGGATGTCTGTGAACGGTTGGCTCAGGGTCTAGCCAGTGTCAGAGCTACTGCAAGCAAGGTGAGCCAGACAAAGGGTGGAGGAAACCTAGGCTTAAGGAAGTGGGCGGGGCAGTGCTGTCAGAGGCGGGTGACGGGCGGAAGGGGGCTTAGGAGTTGAATAAGGAGGAGTAGACAAAGGAGGAGCTTTAATGGGCGGGACTTACTGAGTTCGGGCAGAGTTAAGAGGACCGAGTTGGGGCAGTGGCAACAAGGGCCCTGGGGCGCGGCTTCCTGGGAGGGCGGGGCTTACCTGGAGCCAGGTCGGTCAAGGCATTGTTTGCAGCAAGCGGTGAGAGCACGCGGAAGAGAAGCTGCCAGAGCACTGGAGCCTGCAGCGAAGGGGTTTGGAGTCAGCGGATATCAAGGTATCACCTACATCGGCCCGTGACAACGCCATCCCCGACCCCGGCCGCCTACCCTGGTAGCCTCACCGCTTCTGGACGGTCAAACTTTGCGCGGCGGAAGATCTCGGGGCTGGGCCCAGCGGGCAGGGACCGACTCAGCGCAGCGATAGCCTCAGGCAGGGCCCTGGCCGCCCCTTCCACCCGGCGCCTCCGCCGCCCCATGCAGCCAGCACCAGGCTGCCTCGGATCGCCCGCCCGGGCGGGCCGGGACCAGCCACCGATCACGGCTCGGGCCGGGCCCCGCCTTCTCCGCCCAGGTCCAATGAGCGGTCAGTCTGGCGTTTGAGTGACGACCAGTCTATCCCGTAGGCAGGCACTTCCGGGTCTGGATGGGTGGGGCCTGGGACTTTGGAACTCACCAATCAGCACCTCTGGTTACCAACCTCCCTGGCAACCTCCCGCGCGGGTGGCGCGGTGCTGGAGGGCGCGCCTGCGCCCGAGTGTCCCCTGGAGGCTCCACCCTAGCACCGAGGGCGTGTCTCTGCGAAGCCGCCCTGGAGCTCGCCGCCAGGGGGCGCCAGGGTCCCGCGAGGAGAAGCCGAGCCCTGCAAACTGGGTGGGGAGTTCCGGGGGCCACGTCGCCAGGAGTGTCTTGAGAAAGCCATCCTCCCTCTCCTGTGCAGCCCCACACCTCCTCGTCCCCACTTTCATCCTTCCAGCCACCAGAAGTCGAGCTTTTGAGGGACATTCTGTTTAGAGAAGGGTGCGGCCATCTCCTTTAGGGTTGCACCAGGGTGTCAATCCTGGTTAAGCCGCGAGAATCCGGCTAGGAGACACGTAGACGTACACAGCAGCTGCAGGACAACGGCAGGATGAACCCGGAGTCCAACCCGGTTAGCATGAGCGGGGAAAGACGCCGCACCACGAGCGGACAGGAATGGGCAGAACAGCCTCTGTGGGAAGCCGGGCACGAAAGACCACATCAGAAGCTCCTGTCTGTGCGGGGGAGGGCCGGACAGAGGCCGGACGCTGCCTACGGGATCCGGGGACGAGCCTGCGGGCTAGGAAAGGCAGGGCGAATTGCGGGGGCGGGGGCCTGCACTCACGAGCGGGCACAAGCTAAGCTTTGTGCACTCGCTGTCACCAGACATGGCTGGGGCAGTGGACGGTACTCTGTGTGCTCTACATTCTCATCTCAATAAAGCCTGGAAAGAGTCAGGTGGAGAGGGTGCGGTGCGGAAGAGGAAACTCAAGTGAGAAGGGAGGGGCAAAGGACCCTAGGCACCTGCCACTCTAACGGCGTCCACAGGATGGCCACGCCCTCCGGAAGTGCGGGACTGTTGGCCCACCTTTACGACCCTCCCTGTGCTCCTGCTCCCCACTTTACCCCCTTCCTGCCCCCCGCATCTTGCTGCAGACTTTCCTCTGCTCATCTGGGTGCCCTCGGTTATCCTGCCGCAGGGTGTCCTCCTTCCTGGGTCCTTGCTAAGCAGCTAGGGCTGCTGGTGCCGAAAGGCCAAGCCCAACCAGACTCTACCTGTTCCTACCGCCCTGGGCCCAGAGCCCAGCTTCTTTCTGCACTCCCTTACCCTTCGCTGCACAAAGACAGAGCGATCTTGGCCACTGTGCTACGGAACACTAGGTAAACCACGAAGGAGCCCTTTGCCTCTTGGGGCCTCTTTGCAACGTGACGTAATTGCCCCACCACCACGACATACTCATTCCTACAGGCCTCGGGCTTCTGAGAGTTCACCCCAAGTCTGCCCCAGTTGGGAGACATGGAACTGGGTGCAGGGGGCTGGGATTATGAGGAAGGCAGGGTCCTCGAGGGTGGGAGACAACGGGGAAACAGGAGTTTCTGCCCTTCACCCACGCGTATCTCTTCCAGATCCTCTGTGGGTATTGTTGGACACCCAAGACTTGGAGGTCTGCCCCAACACCTTGAATGGCCGGCCAGAGGTCTGGGGGAAGGGGGAGCTGAGCGCGGTCTCACAACCACGGGAGTCTCCAGGAAGCCTTTTCTACTGCCGCAGAACCAGCCCTCAGATCCCATTAGCGCACCAGGCCACCCAGGGCATTCCTGGGCAGGGGGAGGGCAAATATGGATGGGGTATCTGTTGAGCAGCTGCAGAACTCCCACAAGGGACACTTCTGCGGCCGGGGTGGGGTTGCAGGAAGTGGGAATGGAATAGAGTCCACACAACTCCCCCGAATGAAATCTCAAAAAGGGAACTGTACCAGCTCCCACTGATTCACTCTCTGAACTGTGGCCAGCCCCACCCACTCCCAGGCTCCATGTTCCCGCTGACCCTGTTGGCCAGGGCCTCACCCCAGGCCACAGCCACAAAGGGCTACGGGAATTTTGTGGATCCTAAAGTTAGAGGTACTCCTGCCCTGACGACGCAGTGCTCCCCCAGAGGGGCACCACAGCAGGAAAAGCAAGTGCCCTGCATTAGGGCTCCCGAGGCAGCTCCTCTCCAACACACACGGGTAGACAAACACACGGGCTTCCAAAAGGTCAGGTTTATTAAAGGCATGAAGGGCTACAGAGAGCCCCTGCTGTGTAGGGTTAAGGCCTGGCAGGTGCCTGGGCGGGTAGGGAGAGTTTCCACAACCTGTAAGAAGAAACAGAGACAACTGTGAGTGCATCCGCGAGTTTTGTCGCTGACTCCACTAGGGCTGACCCTTTTCCTGGAGACGGGCTGCCTGGGTGCGATTGGAGATGCGGCTATACCTGGGGTCTACTTGAAAGTGTGGCTCTCAGCTCCACCTCGCCCAAAGCCTGGAAAAAAATAACAGGCAACTCAATAGGTTGGGGAAGGGGGCCAGTCGAGGTGGGAGGCCAGTTAGAGGAGAGACCCAGCAACATACCTTTAGGCCCAAACATGGCTGAGTAGCAGGGATGGTTGCAGTAGGGCTTGCCTTCGTGCTGCAAGGAGAACATGACAGGGTGCCTTCATCTCAGCCACACCCCTCCCCCCACGCCGACTGCCCCCCATCTCCCTCTGCCCCCCAGCAGTCCCTTACCTCGGCATGGCCCCCCGAGGTCAGTGTCTTTCCACATTTCTCACACTTTAGGCAGGGACGATGCCAGTCCTTGCCCAGCGATGTCACTCGCTCGGCTGTGAAAGCACAAACCCACGATGAGGAGCTGGGGTCCCTGCATGCCCTCTTCCACCGTGCATACGCCTATGCTCATTCTCACCCTGGGTTCCCAGACTGCCCCTGTGCTCCATAAAGTGTGGCCCTCTCAAGCCAGTCCGGTGGCACAGAAGGTAGCCTTACTGGAGGGGTATTTTCCTCTCTCTCTCTCTCTCTCTCTCTCTCTCTCTCTCTCTCTCTCTCTCTCTCTCTCTCTCTCTCTCTCTCTCTCCCCCCGTGTGTGTGTGTGTGTGTGTGTGTGTGTGTGTGTGTGTATGTGTGTCTCTGTCGGTCTGTCTGTCTCTCTCTCAGGTTTCTTGGAGACAAGGTTTCTCTGTTACAGCCCTGACTGTCCTGGAACTCACTCTGTAAACCAGGCTGGCCTTGAACTCACAGAGATCCTCCTCCTGCCTCTGCCTCCCCAAGTGCTGGGGCTAAGGGCATTGGGCCACCCCACCCCAGCTCATTGGTGGGACATTTTCAAGCGCTGCAGCAGGAATGTGGCCCCTGAGGGCTGCTTGTAGGGTTGGAGAGGAGGAGGCCTTCAACTTGAGGGAGGACAAGGCGGGGTGGGGTTAGAGAGCAGGTCTGGAGGGTGTGAGGCTAGGTCGCCTGGGTTAAGCCCTCTGGCCTCGGTGCTGGTGGCTGCAGCGGGGACGAGGGCACTCTACTTGCTCACACACCCTCTTGTGGGGACCCTAGGGCGCGCGAAGAGCAAGAAAATGAGCGCACCCGAGAGCGCACCCCCGGACGTGGTTTTCCGCGTCTGTTTCTGCTTAGCGTTGGGAGGGGCCGCCCCAGGCCCGCGTTCCTTCCTATCCCGCAGGGACCCCGCCCAAGGGCGCGCAGAGAGAAGGCGGGAGAGACAGCGGGATACAGAAGCGAGGGTCACACAGGGAGGGGGAGACCCAAAAGAATGGGACTCTTGGAGATCTGGAGACCCAGACGCAAGGAGGCCAGGACACCGGCCCAGAAACATAAGACAGCGAGTGGGCACAGATGTCGGTTCCGTTTGACGGAACCAAGTCGTCCCACCCTGACGCCACGGGCAAGGTCCATGGGTTCGATCCTGGGCGATGCCCGGGACTCTAGGCACTCCCGCCCACCTGAACAACCCAGCACTGTCCACCTCCAGGCCACGCTTTCGCGAACCGTCTGCTATGCACCCGCGGGCATGCGGAGAGGTGGGGGGATACCCGAGCGCGCTCACCGAAATACACCTCCTTGTCACACTTGGGGCACTTCGGCATGGCGGAACTTGGTCCTGCACAAGTGGCAGCAACTAGAAGGAAGTAGGTTGGAGGCTCTGGACTGGGTGGCGTCCGCCTGGTCCGTGCTTTTCAGGGACCCCGCGGCCCTGCCCTTTAAAAGCCCCGCCCCCGCCCCGCCCCCTGAGTCCGGGACTTGGACCCCTGGGATCTCTGAATCTGGCCGACTGGCCAAGAATGGTCATCTGGTCCAGGCTCGCCTCTGGCAGGACAAACTGGCCAAGTGCCATGCAAGGGGCGTTGGGTCTTCTGGGACCCTCTGAGGATCCAGGCAGTTCCCGCGGGCCCAGGCTCCGCCCCCCGCCTGGGGCAGGGCGAGCCTGCGGTCCTGAATGGGGACGTTGGGTCCTCCCCTCCAAAGAAGAAGCGCCCTATCAGGGGCCACCTTGCGCCTTGCACCTGCGAGAGCTTGTAGGAACCCGGGTGGTCACGGGAAACTTCCGAAGTTCAGTAAGGCCGGGCGTGGTGCGATTGCCCATACTACTAGAACTGGTGAGGGTAGTCTGGTCTCTGAGACCCCGTCTCAAAACACACACACACACACACACACACACACACACACACACACACACACACACACACACACAAAGGAGTAAAATAAAGCGCAGATAGATACAAATTATCATTCAAGGATTTGCATATATTTTGATCCTGCCTTCACCGAGAGAGATGAGGGCACTCAGCCTTGCAGCTCAACCCCACGCTCAGCCCTTCCCATATCTAACCCACGCAGACGCCAGGAGGTCTAGCAGAGCCAGAAACAAGTGAACACGCTGACCTTTGCCAGCTGACTGGACTGCAGCCACAACTTAACCGGGGGAATTCAGAAGAGGGGACTCCCAGAAAGCCCTTCCCGCCACAGAGACAACGGAATCTAAACTTGAGGACCCATCAACTTGCGGTTGGACCCTAGAGGTCCAGACAAGGAATGCGGGCGAGGCCACGCCCAGGTCGCTTCCCTGATGCCTTGAGGCACAAGCGAAGAGGATCTGTCCTTATCTCTGGGAAGGCACCCACGGCTCAGCGGTCCAAGTCCACCGCCCAGCCAAGGAGGAGGCTGACCCGTGATTGGTACCAGGTAGAGACTGGACTACCCCTGCAGTAAATAAGGAGGCTGCTGGGCTTGCACTGGCCCAGGGAACCTGCGTTTCAGAGAGCTCTGTAGACTTGCAGAACAACATGGTCACCACATTCAGTCTTCAGTCCCGGGCCTGTGGCGAGGACCGGGGTAACTTCATCTCAGAACTCTCAAGCTGTGAGATTACAGATGTGCCGTGTCTAATACAAAGGCCTCGCTTCGGGGACCACCCACAGATGCAAACACCCATCCCCTGAACACTCTACCCTCCACCCAGGGACCCTAACTTGAGGGCAGTTTTGCTCCAAACTGGGGTTCCACAAATGCCCAGATCTACAAAGACATTTGAAGCCCTTTACTACCGGCTAGGGCATCCAGGGCAGCGTGCTCACAGGCCCTACAAGGACAGACATCCATTCTCTAGCCTACCGTTACTTAAGACCCATCGGGAGGCCTGGGTTGGCGCTACTGAGTGGTTTCTGGACTTAGAGCCACCAACCCAAGCCTCCCCTAGTCACTTATTGTAGTCTTCAGCCCTTCTGGTGAAAAAAAAAAAAGCCCAAACTTCACAGCTCCTGACCTAGTCTACAGAGGAGAGGGGGGCGGGGTGGGCATCCTATGGGCAGAGGCTCTGGGAGGGGAATTCTGAGCAAACCCTCGGTGACTGATGGAGACACCAGGGGAGGCCCAGGACCATCTGGAAGGATGGTGTCTCTGCCACCACAAGTTCTGGGGCCTGACCACAAAGCACACCACCTCACCGTCCATGGGAGAAGTGAACCCCTGCCTGCCAGGGGCACGTGCTGGGCGGAGGCACCGGGCACCTGGCAGACAGCCTCCCTCAGGAGGGGTGTGTGCTGGAGGCTGAGTGCTTGGATTCACATGCATAACCCGGGGCCCCGCAGGCATACCTGTGGGGGAGGGACGTCCTCTGGGAGGACTCTCTAGGGTCCTGGGTGTGGCTTGTCCACATTTCTCTCCTGCTGCACCCGGGGACTCCTTGACAGACCCTTCTCACCTCTCACCCAAGAGACACTCGCTAAGGCAGGTTGGTCACTAATCTTGGCTATGTCCCCTTCCATCCATTGCCCCACCCCAGAGATAGCTCCTTCCTGGATTCAGGCCACACCCTGCACTAGGGAGCCTTCCCTCCAAAACAGCACGATGAGTCTTCTTGGCCTCCCCTACTGTTGTTTCCTGCTGCCATGGTCACGTCGTGGGAGGGTGTCAAGACAGGGGCCAAAGGCTGATATCTTCTTTGTTGGTACACGGAGTTTTCCCAGAACATTGGATCCAGACACAAAGGCAGCCACAGGCTGGTACAGCTCCACAGGCTTGTCCTGGGTGAGGGTCACCTGCTCAATACCCTGATCTACAGAGCCAAATCTTGTCAAGAAAGAAAGGGAGGGGAGGAAGGAATAGAGAAAAGAAGAAGAAAAACAGGAGAGAGGAGAAAGCCAGGGATGGGGATAAAGTATGAAGTGGTATCTTTGTTTACCTAGTTCTCAGCCCTTTAGTCCCTCAAAAGTCCTGTCTGACTTGGAAACACAACTGAGATTTCCATGACCTTGACCATGGTCCAGACGCATTAACCAGAATAATGCATGTTTAATAAACTTACCATGAACTAAAATAACTGAAAAAGGTATAAGTCAAAACTAATTGCCCATGTTATGTCTGAAATAACGTCTATGCTCTACCAGAAGCAAATGTTTCAAGGCTACTCTGAGTCTCACCTAACTTTGATGTGAGTTATGACTTTGGTGGTTTTTGTTTTGTTTTTGTTTTGTTTTGTTTGCCTTTCCCAGCTCTACCCCAGCTGGGCAGTGATGGGGCACATCTTTAATCCCAGCACTCGGGAGGCAGAAGCCAGCCTGGTCCACAGAGTGAGTTCCAGGACAGCCAGTGCTATACAGAGAAGCCTTGCGAAAGAAAGAAAGACAGAAAGAAAGAAAGACAGACAGAAAGAAAGACAGACAGACAGACAGAAAGAAAGAAAGAAAGACAGAAAGAAAGAAAGAAAGAAATAAAGACAGAAAGAAAGAAAGAAAGAAAGAAAGAAAGAAAGAAAGAAAGAAAGACAAAAGAAAGAAACTCCCCCAAGCTTTACCAAAAGACTTAGAGACTTGAACCTGCTCTTGGCCTGAGAACCCCTTTACAGCACTTGGAGGTGGAGGCAAGGGAATCAGGAATTCACAGTCAGCCTCAGCTACATGAAACATTTAAGGTCAGCCTGGCTAAATGAGACAACAAACACACACCACACACACACACACACACACACCACACACACACACACACCACACACACCACACACACACACACCACACACACACACACACACCACACACACACACACACACCACACACACACACCACACACACACACACACACACACACACACACACCACACACACACCACACACACACCACACACACACACCACACACACAGATACACTACACACACACACACACACACACTTGAGGAGAACTTTCAAAGTTTCCATAGTGTCAGCCAATGTTTCCCTGCTGCTGCTTCTATCTGGGCCTCTAGTCTTAGCCCTCCACCCAGCTCTTGGCTGAGGCTCAGCTGGTGCCCAAACCTCGTCAGCCTTCCCGAGGCCCAGCTCCACACACTCACCTGCTTCCTCTGACCCCAGGCTATTCCTGGAGGAGGACAACTGACCAGGACTACCAAGTCAAGTGGAGGCCTGGGGTGCTCTGCCCACTCACAGGGCACCCATTGAGCTCCCCACTGCCTGAACCAGGGCAGCATAGAGGGTGTGGGGGAGGGGAGGCTGCAGGATCATATATGGGCTCAAGCCTTCTCTGCACACACCCATGCGCCCTCCACTGGCTAGGGTACCACGCCCCGAGGCCAGCCAGAGAAGGCAGGGATGGGCCCTGTGGGCTGGATGACCACTGAGGAATCTCAATCCCCGCTCCCATCAGGAAAGTTCAGCAACCCAGGGAAGGGCCGAATGGCCTCTGCAGTGTGGCAAAAACCACCCTTATCTGCTGCCTCTGCAGGTACCTGACTGAGGGAGTAGTCACCTGTGGGGACGCTCATTTAAGGGCTAGAGGTCAGCTGAGCCTGCCCTATGTCCTCTGCTCTCAGGTGCGCAGGCTGACAGCACACACTTCAGAGAGCATGCCCAGCCCGGCATGCTCAGAGGCAGCACAGGCCTCCCTAGGGCTCACTCTCCCCACCCTCCCTCAGACCAGTTGAGGACATCTCCAAGTTCCCAGGACCTATTTTCAGCAGCTTGTCTCAGGGGACCCCCGTCTGGCATAAGATCTGGCCTTAGGGTGGGCCTGCTGGGTCGGCTGGCCAGGGAGAGGGGGGTTGAACGCTGCCCTCCCTCTGCCCCTTGGGCTTAGGTGGAAGGCAATGAGCTTCCTCCTTTTCCAGCAGTAACAGGACAAGGCCAGGAGGTGGGCAGCAGAGATTGGTAGCGGGGCTCCTTGTCTCAGCAAGACTGTGTTCCCTTCCTAGGACCCGTAATCTGGTCAGATCCAGAGTACCCCGAAGCCTGCCTTCCGTGCAGCTGGGCCCGGGCACGGTCACTGCTTCCTGCAGAGCTGCCTGGCATTCCAGCTTCCCCAGAGCAGCAGCTGGAGGCCTGGAGCCCACCCCCCCCCCAAGCCCGCCTGGCCCCAGGAAAAAGGGCCGCCTACACCTGGCACCCTGGGCTCCGGCCAGCCTGCACCGCACCCACTCCATGGCCAGAGCACTAGTGTTAGTTAGCACATGGTGATCTCTTTGATACCCTGCCCACAGGCTTCGGCCAGCAGCCGGAGAACACGACCAGCTGCGCCAGACCCAGAGATAAACAGGATTTGCAGACAGCCAGGAGCTTGAGGAAGACCCTGGCACAGGGGTCACCAGGGCAGATGCGGATGTGTCACTGGCCCAGGAGACACAGAGAAGGCAGGAGGGAGGGAACCAGGAATCTGGAATGTTGGTCAGAGGATATAAAACTAAGGGGGGGGGGGAGGTAGGTAGGGAGAGAGGGAGAGCAGGGGAGAGAGAGAGAGACTGAGCATACTAGCAGGGGTCCAGAGAGGGGCTGGGAGGGTGCAGCAAGACTAGAAAGTGCGAGGTGTGTCAGGGGAACTCCCGGAACATGGCTAAACTGTGCAGAGCAGCCTGGGCTGTGAGGCTCCTTGTGAGGTCCTGGACTACTCAGAGGGCAGAATTTGGGATGATGTGAGGTGCTCAGATGGCATCTAGAGTCATCTCCCGGTCTAGGCGTTCGCTCTTTCGTTTGGGAGATAGAAGCTCAGGGCCCTCTCCCAGAGAAGGGCGGATGCAGGAGACAAAGGCTTCCATTCTCTCCTCCGGCTCGGGTGCATCGGAAGCCGGTGCCACTGACGCGACCTGGCAATGCAGTGGACACCGCCTGGCAACAAGGCCCAGACAAACAGTCGCAGCGCCGCCACGTTTCCACGACAACTCCTTGGAAACAAACACCACGCAGCAGCGTCATCTTCCCCGGCAGGAAAAGGCCAGATCCTGCCCCGCCCCTCTGATGCACAGCAAAGCTGGCCGCAGGGCGGGGATGGATCCGCCTGCCCTGGGAAGACCCCTGCCCTCGCGGCCCAGCCAGGGGAGTCCCCTTCTTGCCTTTAAAGTCCCGCCCAGGACTGGGGAAGAGCCGAGGGCCCGCCCCCTCTGTCTCCTCCAGGCAGAGCTGGTTGAAGTCTTCCTGCTCCGGAGGGCGGACATTTCATCGTTCCCTCCCCCCCCGCCCCATGCATCGCCAACCAGGAAGAGCGTGGGCTGCCCAGCTCAATCCAAAATGTGCAGCCAAGGAGCGGCGTCTAGGTGCGAGAGGGGGAGCCCCAGAGCCCAGTACCTGCTGGCGCTCCCCTCGGCGAGGGTGGAGAGCTCCAGACCCCGGAGCCGCCCCAAGCTCCGCGGCCAGGGACACAACGTTGCCCATAGGACAGTAGGCCCGTACAAAGCCACACCAGGGTCGATGGCCTGGAAGGCTGGACAAGAGGTCAGGGTCAAGCCTGAAAAGACTTCGTGCTCCGTGGCAGTGACCACATCTGGGAGCCACTTGCCCCAGTCGCTTTAGGTACCCGAGGCTTAGACTGCATATGGAGCAGGACTACACGGGTCCCGGGATCAGACGATGCCCCCCCTCCCCCAAGCGCCAAACTGAAATATAGGGGCGCCGTCTAGTGGGCATTCGGGGGAAAACAAGTGGAGGAAGGACACACCTCCGCTGTAAGAAGGGGGTTCCAGTCCCCGATCCTGGGCCACAGAAGGCACCATTCACTACCTCACTACAAACCCAGTCACACGAATCCCTAGACCCTCGCCTAGCCGACTTCTCTCGTTCTGTTCGTGGTCCACCCACTAGAGACAAAAACAAGGTGGTCAAAAGGCTTTGTCCCGTGGGCACAGCAGGAAACGGCCGGTCCTAGACTGTCAGGTCCCACCCAGCTCTCACCAGCCATCCAAGCTCTGGTCACCTGGTTCCTGCTTGTTCTCAGGTTGGACCTCACACACCACGGCTCCGGAGCCCAGAGCTGTGTCCCAGGATCCTGGGCTCTTCCAACTGTGTATACCACACCTGTAAACGCTTCAGTGTGTCTTCAACGGACCCCCTTGTCCAAGTCACCTCCTCACCTCTGCCCAGAGCGACGCACCCCCACCCCTACTTCCCACCCATTTCAACGTTGGCACTGAAGCCTGATCAGTCTCTCTGGAGTCCGTCCCTACCAATACCGGGCCCAGGAGTACAAGGGGACATCTGTGAAGAGACAAAGGGACACTATACTGCCTTGGGTTCACACCTCCCTCCCCCATCCCCCCTCACCACACACACACACACACACACACACACACACACACACACACACACGACACTGAGCCTTGCAATCCTCAAACCATTTATTGACAGCAAAAGTCTCCGTAGCTGTGAACCAGGTGAGGGGCGGGTAGGGAGTAGTGCGGGAACCAGCAAAGGGCTCCTTGCAAGGGTGCTGCCACCCCGGGAATGCTGTGAGCTCACGGCCATCACCGGCAAGCAGAGCATAAATAATACTGGTGGGCATCAGGGATATCATAGGACAGCCACCTCGGAGAGCTCCCGGGGGACATGGGGACACAGGGACAGAGAGGGCAGTGGGTGTCACAGAACATGCCGAAGTGACAAAAAAAAAAAGGGTTGAAATCACGGGCTGTTCTGGACACTACCCAGCAGGCTTCCTCCTCAGGCACTCAGGCCCCGGGGTTTGCAGGCAGGGCTAGGCAGCAGGTCATCTCCCTCAGGGTCAAGCAGGGGACCCTGAGGACAGGCATCTGCAGACCTAAGGCTGAACTGTGCCTTCAGGGTCCTTGTCATAGATGTAGCTGCCCACAGCACCGGTATTCACTCCTGCGGAGAAAAAGCGGCAGGGGTGGCTGAGCAGGGACAAACAGGGATCCGGGAGAGGAAAGAGGAAGAAGTCCCCGTGTCCTCTACCCACCCCGCCCACTATACTCACCCTTGGGTCCAAAGAGAATTCCATAGCAGGGCTTGTGGCAGTAGGGCTGGCCGTCATGCTGCGGGCAGCGCAGACAGATGCTGAGCACCGGCCCCACCCCCTTGCGTTACTCCACCCCCTTGCGTTACTCCACCCCCTTGCTCCGCTCCACCCCTTGCGTTACTCCACCCCTTGCTTTGCTCCACCCCCTTGCTTTACTCCACCCCCTTGCTTTGCTCCACCCCCCTTGCTTTACTTCCCCAGATGCAGTGAGACCTTCAGCAGTAGGTGTCTGCTCCCCGAGAACTTAGGCCTTAAAGGTCACGCGCAGGCCCACTCGCTCTTGACGGGGATAGCAGAGCTCCACGGAGCATCTGCAGAATCTGCCGTCCGCAGAGCCTAGGGCGACCCCAGGCCAGGGAGCGCGACGGCAGCAGAATTCCCGCACAGGCCCCCACCCCGCCACCGGTTCCCGCACCCTTACTCCGGCATGGCTTTCCTGCCGCCCCCGACCCACATCCCCACGGCACCCCTCACCTCGGCGTGCCCGCCCGGGGTCAGCGTCTTGGAGCAGCGCTCACAGCGCAGGCAGGGCCGGTGCCAGTCCTTGCCCAGAGAGGTCACCTTCTCAGCTGGAAGGGAGGGGGTGGTGAGGCGGCGACCCCACCCCCAGGCACACTCCCCCCGGAGGCAGGAGACTGGGCAGTCGTCACTCACCGAAGTACACCCTCTTGTTGCATCGAGGACACATGTTGGGCTCCCCAGTGAACGTGGTGACACTAGAGGCTGGAGGCGGAGCTGGGTCAGGGTCAGGGTGGACCTCGGCCGCCCGGGCTTAACCCCATCCCGAGCCCGTCCCGTGCCCGTCCCACCTTTGCTGGGACCCTTGGGGGGTCCGCTGGCCTTCCGCTGCTCCTCGGTTCGCGCCACAGGGACCTCGATGGGGCCGGTGACCTGAGGGCCCTCAGTCAGAGGCTTCTCATAGATGTAGGAGCCAGCGCCCCCTATGTTCACGCCTGGAGGTGGCAGGCGTGCCAGCAGATTAATGGTTGGAGGCCTTGACGCCACCCACCCATCTCTCACACAGACACACACACACACACACACAGACACCACCACCACCAGAGCTGTCCTAGGACTCAGGCCTGGCTGCGACCCTGCCTACCTTTGGGTCCAAACAACGTGGCATAGCAGGGCTTGTGGCAGAAAGGCTTCCCATCATGCTCAGCGTGGCCCCCGGGGGTCAGCGTCTTGTTACAGCGCTCACACTTGAGACAGAACTTGTGCCAGTCCTTGCCCAGGGAGCTCACCTTCTCAGCTGTGGGGGAGGGGGAGGAGGAGGAGGAGGAGGAGAAGGAGGGAGGGGAGAGGGGGAGGAGGGAGGAGGAGGAGGTTGGGTCAGCATTCCCGTTCCTCTTCTTCAGCCCCTCCATCTCCCACCACCTTGTAGACGCCACGCCCCGCCCCACCCATGGCGGCTCCAAGACTAGGCTACTATTCAGAGACTTTCCAGCCATCCTGAAGCCCTCTCTTCTCCGTGCTCAAGCCAAACGGTCTCAGCACGCACACTCGCCCTAACCCTTGCTGACTGCGTCTGCTGACACCCGCTCCTTCCTCAAAACACCCGCCTCACACTCGCTAGTGCCCGTCCCCACACCTGTCCCCCTCCCCATAGAGCCTAACCGAGCCGGCAGAGACCCACTGCCGAGGCAAGGAGCCCTCGATCTTCACCAGCACTGGGTGAGGGGCCACCAATCGCAGGCTGCGGGTCCCTATTTGCCTTCCTTGTCCTAGGCCCTGTGATCTCTCTCCACCCACTGTCTCCAGCTGCCAGTTTGGCGCCAAAGGTTTGCGGCCAGCAGCTCGGGGTCCTGAGCTTGCTCCCCGCCCCCGCCCCCCCCCCAGGGCTATGACTGCCGTGGAGTCGATTCCACTGCATCCCAATGGACGGAAGCCTGGGCCTCCCCAGGGGAGTGAGGCAGGAAAAGGGTGGAGAAGTGGGCAGGAAGAAGGCCCTGAGCTGCGAGCAGGGCCGGAATTCCAAAGGGAAGGGGCCAGGCCAGAGTGGCGGGGGAGGCGGGAGGGGTGTTATGCTTGCTTGGCTCTGGGACTCGGGCTCTGAGGACGGCAGAAACAGCTCTCCAGCCTTCCTTTCTCAAGAGTGGTCCAGCGGTCCCTTTGGGGCCAAGCCTCCTCTGGACAACCTTGGCCAACCCTAGGGCCAGGGAGCCAAGCTCTGAGAGCCTCCCCCTCCTCCAGGAGCTGCTGCTGCTGGGCAGCGAGCCTGGATCCTCCATGCCGCCAAGACTGGCTCTCTCTACAGCCCTAACTTGCTGCGCATGGACAGGACAGGGCGTCCTCCAGGAACCCCCCAGACCCTGGCCCTGGACAGTGTCACTTAGCTCTCTTTTATGATGACACTAAGAAGCAGGTGAGCCAGACACGGCCCGGCTATGCCCAAGCCAGAACAGACAAGAGCTACCTGGGTAGGGCAGGCTTGGCTCCCATGCCTGCCTGGCATCCTCTCTCTGCCCAGTGATCTAGGGAGGTTATTGGGATGGCCATCAGGGGCTGTGGCAGCTGCAGCTCAGGGCTGCCAAATCCACTCTGCTCTGGCCAGCTCTGGGATGTGGGCCATGTGGGGGCGGGGAACTGACCCTCAGACCCACTGGTTGGGTCGATGGCCCCATTACAGACGTACATTGGGAATACAGCATCGATTGGGTCTAATAGCCTGGGAGGGAATGGTCTCCTACCTGCCCACGTGTTCTGGAGGGAAATCAGACTCAGAACACACCCTGGGGTCCCTTTGGTCTAGCGTTCACTCAGATGTGGGCCTGCTGGAGCACACAGCCTAGCTGGGTGGAAAGGGCAGCATTCTGGACCCCCCACACCCCCAACCCCCCAAAGAACAGAAGCCAGCTCACTCTGAGCAGCCTTTGTTTTCTGCCGAGAGCCAGAGGCGCCCAAGCAGGCAGTGTGCTTTTTCCGGGTGGCCTGTTGGCCAAGGCCCCACAGAGTCCAGAGCTTGCCTGGCCAGGGGCAAAGTCATGAAGAACGTCTCTGGGGACTGTCCTCACCCTGAGACCCGTCAGACATTCCTCTAAGGAAAAGGTCTGACATCAGGCAATCTGTCCCCTCCAGGAGGCAACAGGAAACCCCTGGCTCCAGGCCACCCAGAACAACTCCGAGCCAAATCCGGTCCTTCCCCTCTGGGAACAAACAAAAGTGGCCTCTCCCCTCCCTCCTGTCAGCTGAAGACCCCTGGCCCATACACTCTCTACGGTTCTGAAATGGCCATAGAAGGGAACCCTGTCTTTTCAGGCCCCAAGTCGTCTATCCCGGCCCCCGAGTCTCTCTTCGGTGGGCAGCGACACAGCTACTCTGGAAAAGTTCTCAGCCGGCAGCATAGCCCCCGGAGGTGAGCAGTTCAGGGACCAAGTGATGCCTGATAAAGGTGACGGCCTTCAAAGGCCGCCTTAGCAAGACCCAAGCATTCCTGCATACTCTTGCCTACTTTCCAGACGACCTTGACCTCTAAGAGGCCAGGGTCCTAGTCACTAGGTGCACTCTCAAGCTTACGGAGACCTACGTGTCTCTTGCGCCCCACCCCGGGTGGAAACCGCCGAGGCAAATGGCCAAGAAAGGGAGCAAGCTGGGGCACGTAAGGGGCGGAGGCCAAGGTCGCCCCCGCTTGGACTGAATCCGGAATCCCAGCGGATCCCAGACCTGGTCCAGCGGTCTGGGCAGAGGTCGGAGGGAGGACTGGGGTCACTCACTACTCCGGGTCACACTACTGGGCCCACGTGCAGGCTGGGAGGCAGCTACAGGATGAGGCGGAGATGCCGGGACCCAGGGGATCTTATCGGACCAGTCCCGGGCTTCTGACTTCGTTGGATCCCGCCCCGCATAGTTGGCTGAAGGGCGCTGAGCCGAACATGCGGCTAGCTAGGAGGGCGCTCCCAGCCCGGGCAGACCAGGACTTTGCGTACCTCGCCCGGTGCCTACTGGCCGCTTCCGAACGCAACCGACGCCAGCGCCTCTCCAGGATCCCAGGTGGCCTCCCTAGCCCGGAGCAGCCCCACCTTGGAGCCTCGGGACGCACCCGCGTGGGCAGCGTGGCGAGCTTAGCGACCCGCCGCGCATCCCAAGACGAGCTGCGCGCCCGGATCCTTGTACACTACGGGGTGTGGCTCTGCGCCAGGGGCCTGGAGGCGAAGGCGGACGGCGGGTGAATACTCACCGAAGTACACGGTCTTGTCACACTTGGGACACTTGGAGGCCATGGTCGCACGGTGCGCTCGGTCCGTCCGCGCCCTCCACCCGCGCTGGTCTCTCCTCCGCCGCCCGCGCCTGCCCCGCCCGCCCCGGACGCCGATTGGCTCCGAGGCCTGGGCGGGGCCTCTGGAGCCCGCCCCCCGGGACGCCAGCAGCTGGGCGCAGGGCAGGCGGGGCGCACCTGCCGCGGTCGGAGGGGCCGGGCCTGGCGCCCCCTACCCCACAGTGAGGCGGCGTCTACAGGGATCGCCCGAGGTTTCCGTGGCAACATCGTGGCCTCTAGCTGGAGAGCAGACTTGGGGGTCCCCAGCTCCAGGCCCGGACGCCCCGGCTGGCTCATGGCGGGAGGGGGCGCGAGAAACCCGGGGAGGGGACGCCCCTCCACTCCCGCCTCCCGGCGCCGCCTCCCTTTGTTGCCTCGTTTCCATAGCAACGGTCTCGCAGCACAGAAGCTCGAAGCATCGGATTCCGGGCGGGGCGCCTCGGTCCTGTCTGTGGTGCTGAAGGAGGGGCGGGCGAGGCTCGCCTAGTAAGCGCCGCCACTTCCAAAAACAGCCCGAGAAACCACTGGGAGGAGTGGGGGCGGGGTGGAGCCAGCCGGCGCTGGCCCTGAGGGGGCCCGCAGGTGCACTTGCGCCCTGCGGGTCCTCCCCAGTTATATCCTTGGAGAAGTGGGGTACCTACGAGTTTCCTCGACATGAAGTGTTTGTGAGCTAACTCCCCATCTGTGAGCACCCCAAGCTCATGACTGCTGCCGGGCTTTCTGGGCCCCGGGTCTGGCAGAATTCTGGATCCAAGGCATGTTGCAGGGTGGCAGAGCCAGAAATCCTGCTAGCCAGATGCTGTCTCCCACCTGGCTAGTCCTCACGAACAGTTCCCCTCCCATTCCTCCTTCCCATTAGGGGCATGTTTAGCTATTCCTACTTCCCGATTCCATCCTGGAACTCCTGGTGATATGGACCGAAGAGGAAGCAGGGACCCACAGGCCTCTCTCTGAGCCTTGGGTCTGGAAAACAAACACCCTATATATCCCTAACCCTGACGACCTGACGCGGTATGGGCAACTGACTCCAGAAACGCCATCTGCCCAGCCTTCACCGCTGTGCTGAACACCCGTATTTCATTTCTCGGCTCAGCCCAAGGACCGGGAGCCAAGTGACCCCAGGTGCCAGGCTTGTTGGTGATCCCTGGCCTACTACTATGGCTCCATGTGGTGGCCCCTCCTCCTTCCTTGCAACATATCCCGCAGCTACTGCCATTTCCATGGTGACAACAGCCCAGAAACATGTGCCGCCCCCCTCCAAGCCTGACTGACCAGCCTGACCAGCTCCCCCTGGGCACCTCTGAGCACATGCCAGCCAAGAGGCAGGTAAGCAGGCCTCCCAGTGCCTTCCTGGACAGGGTGCCTTCATTCATAGCCAGGTTCCTGTTCAGGCTGGATTCATGGGTGCTCTGGCTCCCAACCCCAGCATTCACCACCATGCCCTCCCCAGATCCCCATCTTAGGAGCCTCCTTCAGACCCTAGCTACCGGCCTGAGTGATCACCCACCACTAGTATTTGTAGCGGAAAGGCAGGGCTAACTGGGCTAGGAAACGTCGGAAAACGTCTCAGGGGAGCAGGGCCCCTCCAAGGGGTGGCAGCTAAGGAATGGCTGGCTGCCCGGGGCGAGAAGGAGGCCAAGCAGGGCGGGGCAAGAGAGCTGAATGGCTGTGCCGCCCCTACCTATTCTGCGTGGTCCCTGGGCAGAGGGCTATAGGGTAGTCCTGGGCCTGGCACGGAGGCACTTGGGCCAGCGACAGGCAGTGGCCCGGGCCTGCACATCTGAGGCTGTGGAGTGCAGAAGGGCAGGGTGACAGGACAGCATGGGGAGGGACAGAAAGGCGCCTCTGGACTCGCACCAGGAGAGGGAGGCGAGGGCTTCCACAGTGCCTTCCCGGGCACGATCCCACTGTTCACAGCCAGGTTCATAGGTGTCCTGGCTCCCAACTGAATCATGGTTTACTGGGCCCTCCCACGCAGTGTGGAAGACAGCAAGGGGTACAGCAGGCCACAGCTCTCCTCGACGGTCCTGGCAGGATAAACACTACCTTGCAATTGTATGTCCATGTGCCCCACCCTTAGAGCAGGGGCACAGATCGACTGCAGGAAACCCATGGCTGGGCTGGGCTGGGCTAAGATGAAGCCCTCCTTGGGGCCTCTGATCTGTGACTTAGGCAGGTAGGTGCATGCACTCGGATTCTAGGACAGGTCTTCACGTCAGTGCCAGCCCCCCAGGTCATGAGTGCCCGGTCCTCATAGAATGTCCCCTGCCCATTCTCTTCATCAAGAAGGGCTTCAGGATGGAGCAGAGTAATTTCCGGGGCCCGCCAGCCACCCTTCTTTGTCTTGGCTTTCATTTCCAAGCAGCCAGAGGAAGACACACAGCTCAAGACACACTTGCTTTGTTTCTAAATGGACACGGGAGCTGAGGTCCTGAGGGAAGTTGAGGATACCAGGACGGCCCTGGAAACTGTCTTCTGAGAGGGGCCCTCTCGCCCTTGGGTTTGTCTTGGCCAGGACCTAGGAATGCCTCGTTCCCCAGCCTGACTCCCGAAAAGGAGAGCCTTTGGGGAAAGACGCTGTGCCTGAGGATAAGGGAACTATGTCCGCAGGGGCTTCATCTGCACCACCCCCCTGCAGACTCCCACATGGAAGGACTCGGGAGGTCCTAGAGCAGCAGGACAAAGGCAGAGACCAGGATCAACCGGGAGAAGCAGCTCAATGACCCTACAAAGATGGGGTATGTGTCACAGCCCTGTCCTGGACACCTGGCCTGCCACCCTGATAAGCCCCATCACAGGCGCAGGAAAGCCAAGATACCCCCTTATCTGTACCCAGAGTGGGAACCTAAGTGGCTTCTATTTTAATCCCCCATCTGAGAGTCCCACAGATCGCAGGCGCCTGAGTAGGGCGGAAGTGGGAGGCAGAGGCCAAAAGTGCCCAGTGTCCAGGGAGGGGCTGGCTGACCCTCTCTCCGCCAGCTGAGAGGCCTGAGGGATGAGGGCTTGTAGAGCCAGCCCTCCTCCTCCTGGTAGCTGGCCAGACCCGCACCTGTCCCAGGGCCAGCAAGGAGAGGCACAGGCAGAGATAAGATTTCTGAGCAGAAATACGAGCAAATGCTTGAGAAAAGTAACCTGCTGGGTAGTGCGGCTTAGTTCAGGAGGCCTGACAGCTGGACAAGGGATCAGTCCAGGGAAGGGGGTGGCCCAGGACCTGAAGTCTTCGTGCCAAGTCAACCTAGGTAAACCTAAAGGTTGCGGGGCCTCAGGTAGGGTCAGCTCCCATTGTGCCATGTGACAGTTACAGCACGAGGTCCTCGCCACGGCCAGTCAGCGCCCCGCCGCCCCTATGGGAAGGGCAGCGGGCACTGGGCCAAAGGTCTCGGAACTTTGCACTCCACCGGCACTGAGCTGGGTGGCACCTGGCTTCCTGCGGCTACTGCCCATCTTTCTGGGCCTAGCCAGGGACCTGCCAAGGGATACTCCAGGTGTTGGGGGCAGGGCGGCTTCAAGGCCCTAAACCAGGAGAGGGACCAGGAACAAAAGACGCAGAAGGGTTTGCTGGGGTTTTCCTTTTTATGAGATTTTTTTCTTTGTTTTTGTTTAATATGAAAATTACTTGAAAAGACAAGGGACCAACCCCGCCAGGCAGCTTGGCCGCTGCTGGCCGCACCAATCCTAACATTCCAGGTGTAAGTTACAGAGCTCAAGTTCATCTACAAAAAAAGTAATAAAAATAAAATTTAAAATGGCACCTTCAACAGAACACAACGAAACCTCAGAGCCCACCCCGGGTGAGAAGGCCTGCAGCACAGGGGCCCAGGGCATTCCTCATCTCTGCTCCAGCCAGAAAGTAAACACAAAGCTAAAAGACTCCTCTTCTGGTGTCTTGGAATAAGTTAGACCACACTTCTCCCCCACATGTCCACCAGAGGAGCAGTTTCTCTGCATGTGAGGGCGGGAGTTGGGGCACTAAACAGAGGGGGGGTGGGGTGGGCAGCAGTCTGGTGGGGGAGGGAGGCCACTTGGCCTCTGCAGGCCTCACTGGATACTCTGGGGCTGACGGAGAGGCCCAGGCAGGCCACACTGTGGGCGGCCACCTAGTCCTCAATAACAATGGGCTCATCGTTGACTGGTGCAGGTGGGGGTGGCCGCAGCGGCAAGGCCTGGCTCTGGCGCAGGGCAATGGGCTTGTAGGGCCGGCGTGCAGCACGCTTGGTTTCTGAGGACGAGAGCAGCTTGCGGATTTTCCTGTGGGAAGAGATGAGTCAATAAACCCCAGAAGGCGGTAGCTGAGGACCCCATCCCGTCCCAGGAAAGGGTCCATCCAACCTGGTCTCCTCGGTGGCCATGTAAAATACATCGTCCGGGGCGTCAATCCAGTTCATCCGCCGCCGCTTGACAGGAGGCAGGGAGCCTCCACGGATTAGGCGCACTTTGGTGGGGTAGGACTTCCCATTAAGCAGGAGATTCCGACTTGGTCCCTGTAATATAAGGATGTGAACACTGAGACAGTGCCCTGGCCTCACGTTACAGCCCGCAGCCCCGGTTAGGTCTAGCCAGGACTCCCGGGTTCTCTCCATGGCACGGTTGGGGAATAAGGGCTACCCGGGCCACTCCCCAACACCTGAGAAGTATGCCAGGCCGCCCACTCTTACCATGTGCCTGGTCTGTCCATGGTTTGCCAGACCTGATGAAAAGAACACAGAGTGAGTCAGGGCAGGGGAAGCTCCAGATGCACACTGCCTGTCAAAGTTCAAGTCCAGGCCATTAATGGAGCTGGGGTGGGGGGCGATCCCTCCTGAGGCCACACCCCAGGGGCCTGTAAGATGGTCTCAGCTAGCCCAGATGGTCCCATAGCTCTGCAACCCTGAGGGTCACCTATACCTGGCCAGCAGATGTAGCAGTTTGGGCTCCAAGTAGGAGGCCAGGGGTCTTGGATCTGGTATGTCTCCTTGGTGTGAGACGACTACCCACCCCCAGCCAGGCGAAGACAGGTGAAGTATGGCACCCCAAGCAAGCACCTCCCTATCCCTTCCTGGGGCAGCTGCTGTCTGCGGCTGCTCACATGCTAAAAGCACTTTAGGTGGACTACAATAGAATGCTTGTAGGCTGAGGGCCTAAAGAGACGTCAACAGAGTAAGGCCGAGAGGCAAAACCCAGGCTGTCATCCCAGCCCAGCAGGAGCCCAGCTGGCCCACCTCAGGAATCATGGCCCCCCAGGTCTGCTGGCACATGTAAGCCATGTGTGCCAAACAGGTCTTTGAATGGCCTGACCCCAAGCTGGGGACAAGATGGAACTACTCTACCAGGCCTGGCCAGTGCCGGTAGACCCCATGGCAACCTGCAATCATCCAACACTTCCCATCGGAGATTATTTCCCTCTTTTGATATTTTGAGACAAGGACTTAACACGTATCTCAGCTACCTGGAACCAGAGACCCTCCTATCTTTAGCCTCCCAAAGGTGGGGATTACAGGTCTGGCCCATCTTTTAAGAAGCGAGAGCGAGGCTGTCCCACCTCGTCTATCTGCAATCTGACTATTCCAGTGACCCACACCCAGCCTTTCCCCTGAAAGCTCGTTTAGTTCTCAGGACCCCAATTCCCTAATCTGCAGCACCCAGGCAGGGACCCCAACCCTGCGCCCACACAAAGCCCTGTCACGAGAGCTACTTACCCAGATAAGTGCCTGCCAGAGTGATGGGGCGGCAGAGAGGGAAGACAGATACACACGAGTTAGAGCGAGCGGCATGCACGTGGCAGCTAAGCCGCAGGCAGGGCAGAGCAGCAGGCAGCATGGGGCAGGGTTAGTGAGTTAGGAACCCAGGGTGCCAGGGGCCAACGCCTTGCCCAGAGTTCCATCTGCCCTGCTTGTACAAGCCAAGTCCTGAGGCCTGCCACAGCACCCCTAGAAGGTTGGGGCTGTCTCCAGGCAGCCAGCCCATGGTTCCTAGGCTAGACCCAGCACCGAGACCTGGTTTTACAATTTCAGGACAGCCCCTTTTCTTGTGGCTAGACCCTCTGGCCTGCCTTGACCACTCACAGGGCCCGTGAGTTCCCACCATGTCCTGGTTGGGTCTCCATTGCAGGACACACTTTAGGTTTGCATCACAGACTTCAAGAAATCAGTGGAAGTGAACAGCTCTTTGCAGAGGCCAGAAGCAAGGTCTGGGAAGGCTATGCCTGGACCACTGGATTGAGGTGGAGAGGACATAGCCAGTCCCACAACCAGACAAAAGGGATATGCCTGCCTGGGTGCCTGACAGTTGGCAAGCTTTCAAAACAACCTTGAGGGGGAGTGTCCTGAAGGAAAAGGTACAATTGGATGACCAGACGGTCCCTGCCCACTGCTACCTCCTGGGCTCTCGTCCTGAGAGCTGGGGGAGGGGCCTGAGAGGGTTCATGCTGGCTGGTGTTTCCTGGCTACCCCTAGGTCCAATCTTAAACATTAACCCGCACGCTGACTTACGACTCAGTGCTATCTATATCATGTCCTAAGCAGGCGCGTGCCCCACAGCCCTTACCCCATCAGGGGAATCTGAGCTAATCTTCAGTAGACACAAAGACCATATGTAAGCCCAGCCACCAACCCATCCCTACTGTCCCCATCAGGCAGGGCACACAAAAACTGCAGGAAGCACTAGCGGCCCTACAAGCAAGGCTGAAGGCATGCGAGCAGTCACAGCGCGACAGCAGTGGGGGGGCCAGGGCCCTCATGCAAGGACAGTCCACTCATGGCTCAGGCCAAAGGGGTCACAGCCAGAGACCCAGGGCTCACGGGCCCTCTACCAAGTTTCAGGAGCACAGGAGCACAGGCCGTGGCCTGGGTCTGTATGGACTGCCCCTGTACGTGCCCGGAACCTCCCAGTCTGCTGGCAGACAGCACACACAGGCATCACGACAGGACGCGGCCACAGTACCCCACCAGCGGCCGCCCCAGGCCTTACCCCTACTGGGCATCAAGAGACGCTTCTTCATGTTGCCTGGCAGTGCCCAGGGACAGGAGAGAGAGGGAGAGAAAACACCATCAACTAAGACAGCCTTTTGAACAGGGTTCACGGACAGCTCTAGGGCCAGCCCCACGGCACTCCGAGGGCCTGACCTCCTTACAGGGTCACCCTGCAGCTCCCAACAGACATGACTTGGCCTCTCCACAGGGCCAGCCCTGCAGCTCAGACTCACCGTCCACCCCGTTGTGCTGCTCATAGCTCCGCTTGCCCAGGATGGTCGGGGAGCCATTGTTGATAACAGGAGCTGACTTGGCGGGGGTCAGACTGCTGAGCACACTGGATGAACTCTTCACAGGGTCAGGCTTAGGGGGGCGGGGATGGCTCTCTGGAAATGTAAGAGGCAAGTGTGTGATTCAGAAACAGCAGCACAGGAGGCTCCACGCAGTAATACCTTCCCACCCTGAAGCCCCACTGACGAGGGAGGAAGGAAACAGTCACTATCCACCAAAGCTCCCTGAAGCTAGGGATCAGAATAGTCCTAACAGGAGGGCTACCTAGGAACTTGTCAGAGGGGTGGGAGCCAAGCAGAGTCCAGCCTGCTGTCTTGGACAGGGTAGCTGGGTAAGTGCTAAGAGCTTACAAGATCCAGACACAGCCCATAAACACAGCAGTCCCATCAGGCCGCCTCTACATCCAGGCCACCAGGTTTGCTGGCAGAAGACTGGCTACTGGCCAGAGCGGCCTGGCTGCCTGAGTGAGGAGGACCCGCCCGCCCCACAGAAGGCGGTCCTGGCACTGACCACATCCTCCTGGGGAACAAGCACAAAGCTGACCCTGGGGCCCAGGACCCCGGATAGGGAGCAAAGCCAAAGACACTTGTGTCTGCAATGAACACACTTAGCTCATGGTTCTGGAATGTCCTTTCTAGAAGGACTGCTACCTCCATGCTGGAGGAGGGACTTGCGCCCACTTAAACACTGCAAACAAATAACCCTAGTGCCTGGCTCCACCTCAGAGTGTGCCCTTTCTAAACGGCAGTGGCCCTGCCTGAGGACCTCAGCAGTGCTCAGACCCACACAAGCAAGGAGCTATGCCTGCGAGGCTGCTAGCCAGGTGAGCACCTTGGCCCCAAGGGCTCACAAAGGCCAGCAAAGGGCCCGCAGCTGTGGAGAGGCCTCCTGGCAGACAGCAGGTGTTCACCGGCCTTTGTGGACTTGCTGTAGATTGGGTTACACCTGGCATGAACCTTAGTCATAACTCAGGTGTGGTATATGCCTTTAATCCTAATACCTGGGAAACAGAGGCAGGAGGATCTCTTGAGTTTGAGGCCAGCCTGGTCTACAGAGTGAGTTCCAAGACAGCCAGGGCTACATGGCGGAAACCCTGTCTCAAACAGGACACAGGGCACTGGGTATGCCAGGGATGTGAAGACCAGAGGGCCTGGGACTTGGGCCCGAGGAAGGGACAGGAGGCAGCACTGCTCTGTGTGTATCTCTGAGCCCGGCACAGTGCAGCCCAAGCCAAAAGTGTAGTTCTGGTGATCGCGAGGTTTCCTAGATGGGTGGCCAGGGTGACAGTTAGAAAGCTACGTCCCGTCCCTCCAGCTTACCAAGATACCGGAGCACAGCCTCCAGGGGTTTCCGCACTGCCTGCTTCAGCACCAGTGGGCTCTGGGAAGCTTCAGGCAGCCGTGCTGTGCCTACAGGGGAACGAGGTAGGGTGAAGGGCTGGCTGTGTCCCTCAAGAGTCGGGGCCCTTACCTTGACCCCAACCTGAGCACTCTGCCTGGGTGGGGCTCCCACTGGCCCTCAGAAAGGGAACGGTGTGACTCACACTCAGCCTTGATCGCTGCACTGTTGATGGGCATGTAGGGGTGGCGTGCGGCATGCCACGGGCGCAGGATCTCACGGCACAAGCGCCGG